GCCGAGCCACCTCAAACATTCTTTCAAAGTACTATCACACTGAAAGGATTTTTTAAATCACCTTTACTGAGATGTCATTGATATATACAAATTACACATACAACTTGATGTGGTTTTTTTTTTTTTTGAGACAGTTTTACATCGCCCTTGGTAGAGTGCTGTGGCGTCACAGCTCACAGCACTCTTGGGCTTAAGTGATTCTCTTGCCTCAGTCTCCCAAGTAGCTGGGACTCCAGGTGCCCGCCACAATGCCTGGCTATTTTTTGGTTGTAGTTGTCATTGTTGTTTGGCAGGCCCGGGCTGAATTTAAACCCCCTAGCTCCGACGTATATGACTGGCACTCTAGCTGCTGAGCTATAGGCACCAAGCCACAGCTTGATGTTTTAATGTACATATACACTGTGAAATAATCACAATCAAGCTGACATACCTGGTTAACACTGTGTGTATGAGTACGTGTATATATGAAGATTCAATTTAAGATCTATCCTCTTGGTAATTTATAAGTATACATTATTTTCAACTATCTCATCATGCTATACATCAGATCTCCAATAATTTTTGAAAAATTTTTTTGATTTGTTGAGACAGAATCTTGCTGTGTCACCCAAGGTATAGTGCAGTGGTATCATCCTACCTCACTGCAACCTCAAAGTCCTGGGCTCAAGCCTTCTGCCTGCCTTAATCTCCAGAGTAGCTGGAATTACAAGTATGCACCACCATGGCTGGCTAATTTTCCTATTTTTAGTAGAAAAAAGGTCTTGTTCTTGCTCTGGCAGGCCTCAAATTCCAGAGCTCAAGCAATCCTCCTGCCTCAGCCTCCTAGAATGCTAGGATTATAGATGTGAGGCACTGCACCTGGCCCTGAAAAGATTTTTAAAGCACACAAAGCTTTATAACTTTCTATCTGTGTACTTGTCTCATTTTTTTTATCACCAACCTTTTGTTTTTTTTGAGCCAGAGTCTCACTACGTTGCCTTCGGGAGAATGCCGTGGTGTCACTGCTCACAGCAACCTCCAACTCCTGGGCCTAAGTGAGTCTCTTGCCTTAGCCTCCCAAATAGCTGGGACTACAGGTACCCACCACAATGCCTGGCTACTTTTTTTTTAACAGTTGTCATTGTTGTTTAGCAGGCCTAGACCAGGTTCAAACTCCCTAAGCCCTGGTGTATGTGGCTGGCACCCTAGCCGCTGAGCTATAGGTGCAGAGCTTCTTTTTTTTTTTTTGAGACAGAGCCTCAAGATGTTACCCTCAGTAGAGTGCTGCGGCATCACAGCTCACAGCAACCTCAAACTCTTGAGTTTAAGCAATTCTCTTGCCTCCGCCTCCCAAGTAGCTGGGACTATAGGCGCCCACCACAATATCCAGCTAATTTTTGTTGTTGTTGTTGTTGTTGCAGTTGTCATTGTTTTTTAGCTGGCCCAGGCCAGTTTCAAACCTGCCAGCCTCGGTGTATGTGGCTGGCACCCTACCTACTGAGCTACGGGTGCCGCCCTAAAATCACCAACTTAACTTTAACATCATATATTCTTCATAAGCACTCATTTGATATTTCACAATTTCATGTTTAGAGCTAATTATGTCATAATTTTGTAATTCAAATGCTTTAATAGCTTTTTTGTCAAAAGTTATGTTAGTAGAAACATATTTCTACATATTCACATCAGACAGACAGTTCTAATGCAAATCTATGTCTGGCATCTAATAACATGAAATTTTTATGACAGCAGCTGAGACTAAGACACTCATAAAATAGCTACTTAATTCTGTGTAGATAATGGTGCAGATACTTAACTCTGTCTACATCTTAGAAGCATTCGATTAGGAGTGAAGTTAACGCTTTGAAATAAAAATGTGCAACAAAAACCAGGTCATGGCTCTCCAGAGTTGTTCACAAACATCAATGTCAAATATCCAATTTGCTGAACATTTGTTGAGGAGCTTACAGTAACATTACATGTATGTCCCTTTTAAAAATCTGCTATAAAAAGAAGAGAAACTTAAAACTTGTTGATGTTCTACTTTTAAGGAAAGCAAAGAAGGCAAAGTCAGCCTATAAAATATTCCACGCTTAATATGTGTAATTATAGTAACTTCAAAAGGATAAGCTCATACTTCTTTGTTATTATACAACAATAACGGCAGAAACCTCAACTAAAACCACATATTCACAGTAGAGAATTTCAGTTTCTGGGTTACTGTTACGCTTAAACACCTGTTCTTTTTTTCTTTTTTTTTTTTTTTTTTTTGAGACAGAGTCTCACTATGTTGTCCCCAGCAGACTGCTATGGCATCACAGCTCATAGCAACCTCTTGGGCTTAAGCTATTCTCCTGCCTCAGCCTCCAAAGTAGCTGGGACTACAGGCCCACCACAATGCCTGGCTATTTTTTTGTTGTAGCTGCCATTGTTGTTTGACAGGCTGGGCCAGGTTAGAACCTGCCAGCCTCAATGTATGTGGCTGGCCCCCTACCCACTGAGCTATGGACACTGAGTCTAAACACCTGCTCTTAATGTTCAATTTCTTCAGAGTGAAACAGCAAACACATTTAGAAACTTTTTTCTTTTTTTTTT